TGACAAATTAATATATTATTGGCTTTAATTATGTAGGTAATTCCTGACTTACAATCACAATTGAGTCTCGTGTTTCCATTGCCTGTTGTTAAGTGAATTTTGCCCCATTTTATGATCTTTCTTGACATAGTTGTTAAGTGAAACACTGAGTTGTTAAATTAGTAACTCGGTTGTTAAGTGAATCTGGCTTCCCCATTGACTGCTTGTCAGAGGGTCACAAAAGGTGATAACACGATCCCAGGACATAGCAACCATCAAAAATACATCCCTGTTGCCAAACATTCAAATTTTGATCATGTGACCTTGAGAATACCACAATGGTTGTAACTGAAAAATTATCATACTTCACTTTTTTCAGTGCTGTTGTGATTTTGAAAGGTCACTAAACAAATGGTTATGTTGAAGACTATCTGTAGTTGGCTAAAAATTGTAATATTCTAATAGTCATTGAAATAACACTTAGTAGGGCAAGTTTTCAAATTTTAAATCTTTCTATGATAACTGAATTAAGATAACTAAATGTTTAATGTTGTTTCAGTTCTGCATGTACATATGCATAGATGCAAACATGCACATGCATTTACTGCCTATTTCATTTCAACTATGCACATTTCTATTCATATATTTATAAAAACCTTTCTAATAATATGAACTTTTGTGATAGAGAAATTCACAGAGCTCAGAATCTATTTTTCTGTTAAAAAGTCACCACACGGTTGTGTTTATTCATACAACTAACTATAATTCCCTGGCCAAATTAAATCCCAAATTATTTTAAAAGGTTTTCAGGATTTTTTTTCTTGTCTTCAGTTATATTTATATAACTTATAACTTTATATTTATGAAACCGCAGTATGTTCAACCCCAGTACATTTCTTACCTTTCCAATATGTTCTGTTCCACGCAGAATACACAAATAGACCAATAGCCAAGCCAGGATGAGACAAGCTGCTTGCTCCCATTGGATGCTTCCACTTTCCTCAATGGATGGAGAAATATTGAGGGTTTTCCTATACCAGAAGTACTGAGTCGGTGTTGCTTTCTCACATTCTTCCTCATAGTTTGTGTGGTTAATACTCAATGGACAGCTTGCCCATGGCAAAGGATCCTTTAAGGGTGAATCAGATATTAAATCCATATAGATCAGTCCCAATACTGTCAGACATCCAAATACAAAGGCTGCAGTGGAAGATATGGGGAAGATGGCTATGTGATAGACCACATGCACTGGTTTTAATCCCCAATGTGAGTAATCACCCACAACAACAATTTTCAGGCCAGAACTGATAGTTCTGTAAGTACTAAGCAATTTCAAAGCAGCAATTATTGTACAAAGAGCCAGTTAACTGAAGGGGCATAAAGAAAATGATATGGGTTTGAACCACTATCTTTAGAAGAAGCATCTCAACATTCACTCTGGCAGTGGGCAATCTGCTGTTTGATTTGCTTCATTCTTGTTTACAGTAAAGACTCTTATCTACCCATGCTGTTCCTGGAAGACTTTTGCCAGATCATAGCCATGTAAAATGTTAAATCTCTTTTTTTTAATAACAAATTTTATTGGTTTTTTAAGTTTTACAACAGAATGCTCAAGAAACACCGTGGTGGTTAGGTGATCAATCATCCAAAAACAAAATCATACAATAGCTCAAGTAAATACATTAAATGTTCCCTCTCTATTTCCCTCAAATAATATAACCTATTTAACATAATCCATTTCTACATTATATATCTATAAATCCTAATCCTGTTTTGAACTTTATTAATTTACAGTGACCATAGTCCAATTTAATCTTAGATAAACATATTATCACTTCGGGTATCCCTTCTAAAATACTAATCCGGATATATTCTAATTCATAATCTCATAAATCATTGATTTTATCACAAATCTCTCTTATTTCTTCAGATAGCATTTAAATCTCATTCAAATAATTATCATGTCTAAAAAAAGAACACACCTATTATTACACAAAACATCATCTTACTAACTTAACACACTCAATTAGTTGTTAAAGCAATCCAAATTTCTAAAAACCTCTTTCATATTCTTATTCTCATTCCATTACAAAATAATTTTCATACAAATAAACATATTATTCCAAAAAGTACATTCTTACTTTGTTTAACATATATATTCTAATAATCACAAATTTTCAACTCTAAATCTTAGTCCTTAAATCAATCCATATTTCTCAAAACCTTTTTAATCCATTACATATAATTTTAAATTTCTCTTTTTAATCTTATTCTGGCTTTCTTTTTATGCCAAACAGGTTTCCATAACAAAGCCTCTATTTCAGCAAATAGATCTCCCATTATTGCTTGTAATGTCATTTGAGTCAGTAAAAGACCTCCCATCCTCTGTTTTTGACGCCTGGCTCCTGTCTGCTGGATAAAACACTCGATCATGTCCAATTTTATAATTAGTAGATGATTATCAAAGTTGTCATAATTTTCCAACAGTTGTAATTTCAAGTCCATTTCTGTTAGTTTTGCAATTGTAGATAGTTTAGTTACAATCATTTTCTGGTCATTCAAAGTCTCCATAGGTTGTATGTAAATTAATTCCTCTTCTATTGCTTTTTGGTCTGTAGAATGATCAAATAGAGTCTGAAGGTCAGTTTGTAAGTTCACAATAGAATTTCTGTTTATTATTTCTGCAGTTCTCTCAGTAACTTCATAAATTTTTTCCAGCATGAGTTTACCGTTGAGTTGTAAATATGGTTTCTCCATTTCAGAAGTAACTAAACCTAGTTCTGTTATCTTTTAGTGGAGGCTATCAGTATCCACCCCCACCAATAACAGCTGTTGGACCAAAGAAAAAAGAAATAGTTGCAGTTTTAAATTTCTTCAGAAGATGTCCTCAGTAAACTATGAAAGTCTCTTGAAGACAACAAGAACGAGATTAGCAAAGTCAAAAAGCTATGAAATCTCTTTTCTGGCTTCTCATAGAGTTTGTTTTTTTTCCAAACAATAAAGATTTATCCCTTTAAAAAAATAAGTCCAAGACATAGGAAAACAATATTCTCCAGCTTAGAAGATATAATAATAAAGTTTTATGATAAGGATTTTTCCAGGGCCCCCAAGTAACCAAAAATAAAAATAGTCAATAAAAAGTTTTTTCTTTGTTATGGAAAGCTCTTTTCCCCAGATAAACAAAGGCAGCTCTTTCAAAGCAGGGAAGTAATTCCAAAAGGCTTTTAACAGGAGTGTAGTTAGGCAAAAAGAGAGAGGGAAAAGTCTCACCGGGATCATCCACGATGGTTTCTTAATGCTTAGATGTTCTTTTGACTTTCAGCTGGAGCAGCTAAATGATCAGCCATGTTACTGGTCAATCTTTTCTCCGTCAGCCCTGAGGAGCTGCCTCGGACCGTGGAGGGAGCTGCCTCCTCCCTCCGCAATCAACGAGGGTCCTCCTCATCGGAGGCAACTACCTGCAGTATGAAGCTCCATCCATGGGACCCTAAGCCATTTGAAAAAATCAGGTCTTCAGGCTCTTGTGGAAGGTCAAGAGGGTGGGAGCCAGTCTCACCTCTGAGATAAGATGTTCCAGAGAGCAGGAGCCATGGCAGAGAAGGCTCTTCTCCTGGATCTCACCAGGCTGACAGGATCTGCAGAGTGAGATGGTTCCTCGAGTAGCTTAGAGCCATGCCATGCAGGGCTTTAAAGGTGATGAACAACACCTTGAACTGTACCCAAAATCAGACTGATAACCAGTACAGCTCATGAAGCAATGTTGTAACATGGGCCACTCTATAGATCCAAAGAACTGCCCTTAGCATCACATTCTGCACCAGCTGTAGCTTCCAAATGCTCTTCAAGGATAGCCCCATCTAAAGTGCACTGCAATGCAAAGTCCAGCTGTGAGATGACTAGGGCTTGAATGACAGAGTGCAGAGACTCTTGATCCAGGAAAGATCATAATTGGTGCATACAATGTAGTTGTGCAAAGGCTCTCTTAGTCACTCTTTTGTTTTATCTTTGACATATGTGTCACATGTCCCATAAGATTTTATATTGTTCACAATGTTTTCAATACTTGTTCTGGATCAGCCAGTTAGATGAGAACTATATGTTAGAATCTTTGGCTTTTATAGGGTTAAGCTCTGTCTCCTTAAGAGATGGCTTATGGATAATGCAGTTTAGCTATTCAGTGAATCCCATGTTAACAAGTCAGTAGGAGGGGCTACTAAGTTTATCACAGGATATCCTGGCTACATGCCAGCAGTTTGGAATGTATTTGTCTGAGAAAGCATGGGATCACTAGAGGACAGACACGGTCTTAATTCATGCTAGAAGTTGATGTGAAGGAATTAATGATTTTACCTATGAAAATGGACAATTATGCAATATCCAGATAAAACTATGGAAATCGTGAGTTCTGACCAAGTATTCCTGGATTAAATATTTGTTTAAAAACCATCTTTGTTGAGTTGTCTGTCTGGTTTTAAATTGCAAAGCATCTCAGTTCAGGATACAGAACAGTAAAAACATTTCTTATGCTTCATATCAGCAGAAACAGCAATGTTCTTTATATGCAGTAAGATCAATATTATCTCAGTATCAGCTTTAAAGGAAGAAAAGTAAATTGATGTGGCTAATTTCCTCTAACTGCCTTTTTCGTCTGCCTGCATTTCCCTCCGTTGAAGTAAAGAGTTAAAGAAAGTACTCTGTTTACCAGCCAATGTTTAAAGTAAAGGGAAAGAGCCAATTTAGGTGCAGCCTCCCTCCCCAAAACGTTCCTCCCTATTGCATCTCATTGTAAGAATTTCTTGCATGTCTAAAGACTGTGTTTCTAAAGATCAGAGAAGCGTTGGAGCAGCCACTCCCCTCCTCCCCTCCTTTCTGTTGCATGAAGCCAAGAGAAGAGCAAGTAACTTTTAATTGCCTTCAAAGGGAGGAAAACTGAATGACTGTTCTCAGCCTGCCTGTTGCAAAGTGCTAATTTAGAGGGAAGAGAGCTGCTCCCACAACTCCCAAGCTGTATTTCCTTTGTCTGCATATTGCTCAAAACGGCACAACCCCTCCCTGCCTGCTAGCTCAGCATTTCAAGCAAAGGGCATGATATTTGCAAACTTTTATCTGCCCAGGCAAAGCAGCCTAGAAAAGTTACTGGACAAGGCATTTGTTTCTCTTGTTTGCAGGGGCACCTTTGAAGACAATAAAAACTCATTAGTAACCAAGCAACTGGTTTTAGAGGAGCTAAATTCCACCAAAATGGCCCCCTCCCTTGGAATCAAAAGAATGTGTTTCAGCTTAAATCCATCTCAAGCATAGGCAATGCAGTAATGGCCACCCCACTAGCAGATGCAATAGCATCCCCTGGTGGCCAATCTGCACACAATGCCTAAAAAGTCAAGTCAGCAAATAGCAAGCTTGCACCTACCCAAGTTAATATCACCTCCAGAGGTGAAAGAAGGAACTTCGCTGAAATTTCTAACTATACAGAGTGTGTCTCTGATGGTCAAAGAGCAAAGTTCCCTGAATTCATCCAAAGTAACCAGCACCCCTTAGTGGGCACAGAGTGAACTTCACCCAAAGTAATCATTCATGCAGCAGTCATCCCTAGTGGTGTCTTTTCTGAGGGCACATTAAGGAGGAAAAAAGCAGCAAATTAACCTTGCTTATTATCACAAAACCGTAACGACCAAGTGGATATTTATGGGAGCTAATTGGAGCTCAGTAATTTTCCAGGCAGTTAACAGCTTGCAACGTAATGACCAAGTGGATATTTATGGAGCTAGTTGGAGCTCAGTAATTTTCCAGGCAGTCAACAGCTTGCAATGTAACGACCAAATGAATATTTATGGGAGTTAATTGGAGCTCAGTAATTTTCCAGGCGGTCAACAGCTTGCAACGTAACGATCATGGTGGAAGTTTATGGGAACTAGTTGGAGCTCCGTAATTTTCTAGATGACTACTAACATGCAATGTGATACTGAGAGAAAGAGTTTAGCTTACCTTTCTCCAAGCGCCCCCAGTGGTTAAAGAAGGAACTTCACACAACCTTTAATCACACACAGAGAGAGCCCTTTAGTGGACAAAGGGTGAACCTTGAGGAAGAACACCCTTGTTGCTGACCCGCAAGCAGTGATCCCTAGAGGTCAAAGGGAACTTCGCTGACGTACCATGCACACAGGAGAGCGCACCCAGTGGTGCCTCCATGCACAGACAGC